CGGGAATGGGAACACGGGAATGGGAACACGGGAATTCGGGAACACGGGAATGGGAACACGGGAATGGGAACACGGGAATTCGGGAACACGGGAATGGGAACACGGGAATGGGAACATGGGAATGGGAACACCAATGGCAGTGGGAATGGGAACAGGAATGGGAACAACCCGGGAATTCGGGAATGGGAACAGGAGCGGGAACAACCCGGGAACAATTCGGGAATTCGGGAATGGGAACACCAACGGCAGCGGGAACAGGAACGGGAACAACACGGGAAGTCCAGAATTCGGGAATGGGAACAACCCGGGAACAACTTGGGAATCCGGGAATGGGAACATGGGAACTCAGGAATGGGAACAGGAATGGGAACAACCCGGGAATTCGGGAATTCAGGAATGGGAACAACCCGGGAACAACTCAGGAATCTGGGAATGGGAACAGGAACGGGAACAACCCGGGAATTTGGGAATGGGAACAACTCAGGAATGGGAACACAAGAATTCGGGAATGGGAACAACCCGGGAATGGGAACATGGGAATTTGGGAATGGGGATTCAGGAATTCAGGAATGGGAATTGGGGAATTCGGGAATGGGAACGGGAATGGAAACTCAGGAATGGGAACAACTCGGGAATTTGGGAATGGGAATTCGGGAATGGGAACACGGAAATTCGGAAATGGAACTCGGGAATGGCAATGGGAACAACTCAGGAACTCGGGAATGGGAACTCTGGGAATTCTGTGCTGATCCCGCATTTCCTGAGCAGGGAATTGTGGGAATTCTAGAAATTCCCCGCTGATCTCGCTTTTCCCGAGCTAGGAATTCTGGGAATTGTGGGAATTCCGCGCCGATCCAGCGTTTCCCGAGCAGGGAATTCTGGGAATTCGGTGCCAATCCCGCATTTCCCAAGCAGGGGATTCTGGGAATTCTGGGAATTCTCCTGGGAATTCCACGCTGATCCCGCGTTTCCCGAGCAGGGGATTGTGGGAATTCCAGGAATTATCCCGGGAATTCCGCGCCGATCCCGCATTTCCCGAGCAGGGGATTCTGGGAATTGTGGGAATTCCGGGAATTCTCCCGGGAATTCTGCACCGATCCCGCATTTCCCAAGCAGGGGATTCTGGGAATTCCAGGAATTATCCCAGGAATTCTGCGCCGATCCCGCGTTTCCCGACCAGGGAATTGTGGGAATTCCGGGAATTCTCCCGGGAATTCCGCGCCGACACCACGTTTCCCAAGCAGGGAATTGTGGGAATTGTGGGAATTCCGGGAATTCTCCCGGGAATTCCGCGCCGACCCTGCTTTTCCTGAGCAGGGAATTGTGGGAATTCCGCGCCGAACCCGCGTTTCCTAAGCTGGGAATTCCGGGAATTCTCCCGGGAATTCTGTGCTGATCCCGCGTTTCCCGAGCAGGGGATTCTGGGAATTCCGGGAATTCTCCCGGGAATTCCGCGCCGATCCCGCGTTTCCCGGGGCTCACTTGTCGAGGCAGGCGACGCTCAGGCACTTTTCCTGGGATTGGGGATTCCCGGGAGCGGCTCCGGAGTCGTTTTCCCGCAGGATGGAGTCGATGAAGGTGGACGGGGACAGGGGGGTCTCGGCATTCCCGGAATTCCCGGAATTCCCGGAAGAATTCCCGGGGTTTTTGGGCTCCTCCGCGGGCGGGCTCCGCGTGGGGCTGGGAGGCTCCTCCTTGATCCGGATCCCCGGGCTGCTCCTGAGGGAATGAGGAAAAACCGGGAATGAGGGAATGAAAAATCATGGGAATGAGGGAATGAAAAAACTGGGAATGAGGGAAAACGGGAATAAAAAAACCGGGAATGAGGGAATGAAAAAACCGGGAATGAGGGAAAACGGGAATGAAAAAACTGGGAATGAGGGAATGAAAAAACATGGGAATGAATGAGGGAAAACGGGAATGAGAAAAACGGGAATGAAGGAGGGAAAAGAAAATGGGAACGAGGAAAATGGGAATGAATGAGGGAAAACAGGAATGAAAAAAACGGGAATGAGGGAATGAGGAAAAACGGGAATGAGGGAAAACAGGAATAAATGAGGGAAAACGGGAATGAGGGAAAATAGGAATAATGGGAATGAGGAAAAACGAGAATGGAAAAAAATTGGGAATGAAAAAAATCGGGAATGAGGAAAAATGGGAATGAGAGAAAACAGGAATGAGGGGAAAATGGGAATAACAGGAATGAGAAATGGGAATGAGGAAAAACAGGAATGAAAAAAAATGGGAATAAAAAAATCGGGAATGAGGAAAAATGGGAAGGAGGGAAAACGGGAATGAAGGAATGAAAAAAACGGGAATGAGGGAAAATGGGAATAATGGGAATAATAAGAATGGGAATGATGGGAATGATGGGAATGACAGGAATGACGGGAATGGAAAACAAAGTGGGAATAATGGGAATAGGAAAAAATGGGAATAATGGGAAATTGGGAATGATGGGATAAATGGAACTAAAAATAGAAATAAGGGAAATGGGAATGATGGAAATAGGAATAACGGGAATACTGAGAAAAACAGGAATAATGGGAATAATGGGAATGAGAATGGGAATAATGGGAATAATGGGAATAATGGGAATGCAAGTAATGGGAATGATGGGAAATGGGAATTCTGTGAATGATTCCCAGCTCACATTCCCGGGGATTTTTGGGATTTCTGGGATGCCATTCCTGGGGATTTTTGGGATTTCTGGGATGCCATTCCTGGGGATTTTTGGGATCAATTCCCAGGGATTTCTGGGATCCCATCCCCAGGGATTTTTGGGATTTCAGGGACCCCATCCCCAGGGATTTTTAGGACCCCATTCCCGGGGATTTTGGGGTTTCTGGGACCCCATTCCTGGGGATTTCTGGGATTTTAGGAATTTCAGGGATTGATCCCCGGGGATTTTTGGGATTTCAGGGATTGATCCCCAGGGATTTTTGGGATTTTTGTCCCACCTGCCGTCCAGCCCAGACCCCATTGATTTTTGGGATTTCAGGGATTGATCCCCAGGGATTTTTGGGATTTCAGGGATTGATCCCCAGGGATTTTTGGGATTTCAGGGATTGATTTTGGGGATATTTGGGTATTTTTGTCCCACCTGCCGTCCAGCCCAGACCCCATTGATTTTTGGGATTTCAGGGATTGATTTTTGGGTATTTTTGTCCCACCTGCCGTCCAGCCCAGACCCCATTGATTTTTGGGATTTTTGGGATTTCAGGGATTGATTTTGGGGATTTCAGGGATTGATCCCCAGGGATTTTTGGGATTTCAGGGATTGATTTTTGGGATTTCAGGGATTGATTTTTGGCGATTTTTGTCCCACCTGCCATCCAGCCCAGACCCCATTGATTTTGGGGATTTCAGGGATTGATTTTTGGGATTTCAGGGATTGATCCCCGGGGATTTTTGGGATTTCAGGGATTGATTTTTGGGATTTCAGGGATTGATTTTTGGGATTTCAGGGATTGATTTTGGGGATTTCAGGGATTGATTTTGGGGATTTCAGGGATTGATCCCCGGGGATTTTGGGGATTTCAGGGATTGATTTTTGGGATTTCAGGGATTGATTTTTTGGGATTTTTGTCCCACCTGCCGTCCAGGCTGCCGCCGGGCGAGGCCTCGGGGCTGGACGGGGGCAGCTCGGTGACGTCAGCGATGATGGGGCCGGAATTGGCGCCGGGATCCGCCGGGAACAGAGCGGGACCCCCAAAGGCCGGGGAGGGGCCCTGCAACGGCAACAGCCCCGGAATTCACCCCGGGAATTCACCCNGGGCTCCGCGTGGGGCTGGGAGGCTCCTCCTTGATCCGGATCCCCGGGCTGCTCCTGAGGGAATGAGGAAAAACCGGGAATGAGGGAATGAAAAAAAACGGGAATGAGGGAAAACGGGAATGAGAAAAAACCGGGAATGAACGAGGAAAAACGGGAATGAAAAAAACGGGAATGAGGGAATGAAAAAACATGGGAAGGAGGGAAAATGGGAATGAGGGAATTAAAAATCATGGGAATGATGGAAAACGGGAATGAATGAGAGAAAATGGGAATGAAAAAACCGGGAATGAGGGAATGAAAAAACATGGGAATGAGGGAAAACGGGAATGAAAAAAACAGGAATGAGGGAATGAAAATGGGAATGAAGGAGGGAAAAGAAAATGGGAATGAAAAAAACGGGAATGAAGGAGGGAAAACGGGAATGAAAAAACGGGAATGAAAAAAACGGGAATGAAAAAAACGGGAATGAAGGAGGGAAAACAGGAATGAGGGAACTGAAAAAAACGGGAATGAGGGAATGAGGAAAAACGGGAATGAGGGAAAACAGGAATAAATGAGGGAAAACGGGAATGAGGGAAAATGGGAATAACGGGAATGAGAAATGGGAATGAGGAAAAACGGGAATAAAAAAATGGAAATGAAAAAAAAATCGGGAATGAGGAAAAATGGGAATGAGGGAAAACAGGAATGAGGGAAAAATGGGAATGAGGGGAAAATGGGAATAACGGGAATGAGGAAAAACGGGAATAAAAAAACGGGAAAAAAAATCGGGAATGAAAAAAATGGGAAGGAGGGAAAACGGGAATGAGGGAATGAAAAAAACGGGAATGAGGAAAAATGGGAATAATGGGAATAATGGGAATAATAAGAATGGGAATGATGGGAATGATGAGAATGGAAAACAAAGTGGGAATAATGGGAATAGGAAAAAATGGGAATAATGGGAAATTGGGAATGATGGGAATAAAAGGGATAATGGGAATAACGGGAATAACAGGAATAATGAGAATGGGAATAATGGAAATAATGGGAATACTGGGAATGCAAGTAATGGGAATGGGAAATGGGAATTCTGTGAATGATTCCCAGCTCACATTCCCGAGGATTTTTGGGATCCATTCCCGGGGAATTTTGGGATGCCATTCAAAGGGATTTTTGGGATTTCTGGGATCAGTTCCCAGGGATTTTTGGGATGCCATTCCCGGGGATTTTTGGGATTTCTGGGACCCCATTCCCAGGGATTCTGGGGATTTTAGGGACCCCATCCCTGGGGATTTCTGGGATTTTGGGGATTTCTGGGATCCCATCCCCAGGGATTTTTGGGATTTCTGGGACCTCATTCCCAGGGGTTTTTGGGACCCCATTCCCGGGGATTTCTGGGATTTCTGGAATCCCATTCCCAGGGATTTTGGGGATGCTGTCCCACCTGCCGTCCAGCCCAGACCCCATTGATTTTTGGGATTTTTGGGATTTTTGTGGATTTTTGTCCCACCTGCCGTCCAGCCCAGACCCCATTGATCCCCGGGAATTTCAGGGATTGATCCCCAGGGATTTTTGGGATTTCAGGGACCCCATCCCCAGGGATTTTTGGGATTGATCCCCGGAGATTTTGGGGATTTTTGGGACCCCATCCCCAGGGATTTTGGGGATTTCTAGGATTTCTGGGACCCCATCCCCAGGGATTTTTGGGTATTTTTGTCCCACCTGCCGTCCAGCCCAGACCCCATTGATTTTGGGGATTTCAGGGATTGATCCCCAGGGATTTTGGGGATTTTTGGGATTTCAGGGACCCCATCCCCAGGGATTTCAGGGATTGATTTTTGGGATTTCAGGGATTGATCCCCAGGGATTTTTGGGATTTCAGGGATTGATTTTTGGGATTTTTTTGGGTTTTTTGTCCCACCTGCCGTCCAGCCCAGACCCCATTGATTTTTGGGATTTCAGGGATTGATTTTTGGGATTTCAGGGATTGATTTTTGGGATTTCAGGGATTGATTTTTGGGATTTCAGGGACCCCATCCCCAGGGATTTCAGGGATTGATTTTGGGGATTTCAGGGATTGATTTTTGGGATTTTTGGGGTATTTTTGTCCCACCTGCCGTCCAGGCTGCCGCCGGGCGAGGCCTCGGGGCTGGACGGGGGCAGCTCGGTGACGTCAGCGATGATGGGGCCGGAATTGGCGCCGGGATCCGCCGGGAACAGAGCGGGACCCCCAAAGGCCGGGGAGGGGCCCTGCAACGGCAACAGCCCCGGAATTCACCCCGGGAATTCACCCTGG